AAAAAAATATTTTATATAAAGTATTATTTATTTCATGATATAATAAGAATAATTAATTCTATAATAGTTAAATTTAAAATCATCAATATTAATATATATTTTTAAAAATTATTTTATAACTTCAATTTTAAAAGCTTTTTTAACCAAACACATTAAATTATTTTTTCTTCAACTTTAATTTCAACCACAGTTTTAACCAAATATCTATTTTTTCAAACCAACCTCAACTAAAAGTACTTTTTATAAAACAATTTTTTTCAAACTACAACCACAACATCTATCGCAACACCAAACACACTCTATATTCCATGTGTCCAGTCTCTAATATTGTGTTTTTATTGTTTATTTAAGGTGCAGGAAACTTTTAAAATAGATCTCCAATCAAATCCAAGAGTTCACATGTGATTTGCTAATGTACATAATAAAGAAATCTTTTTTTTTTTGTAATATATATACAAGGGGGTGAAACTATTAATAAAGATGTGAAACGATTTAAATGAGTATTATGTTTTGTGATTATTATAGATTTAAGTTTGAATATTGAGTTTGGAGTTTGGATTTTTTTGATAAATAATGGATTATAGTTATAGTTATAATTACAATTAGAAAAAAAATTAAATGTCCTCTTGATTTTCTTGGATTCACACATTAACCTGTTTTATTTGATTTTGTCAATTTTTATTTTCCTTTTTAATTTATTTTGTAATATTTTTTAATTTATTTCAATTTTGATTTGCATAAAACTATTGTGGTCTTAAAAAAAAAAGCCTTGGCTTTGGATAAATGCTTAATTTTATAAGAATTTATTTGATTTTGTTGGTTGCACAAAATTTAAAGTTAGAGATCAAAATTAAAGAGAAAAATAAGCAACTTGTTAAAAAAATGCTAATTTTTTCCTGGGGAATTTTTCTAAGTTTCTTTTTTGTCCCAGAATAAATATTTTTTTGTCCAAGATTTTATTTTGTTAACATTTTGGTTCCTAGTTGACACAATCAAAAGATTGATGTCTTCTCCCAAGTGCAGAAAGTGTTAAAATAATAAATAACCCGGTAAGACCGCGATAGAACTACAAAGAGGTTAATTATATAAATTATAAATAAACAAAATAAGAACATAAATAAGATAAAAGTTAACTAAGTAAAGGAAAGGAAATGAAAGGCATAAACTTGATATTAATGAAAGTAAAGCATAAACATTACAAAAAATACAAAGAGAGAAAGCAAGAGCATGATCTTGATCTCGAAATCAAGATGCCTAAATGCATGCCAAATACCTCCTTTTATAGGCCAAAATTTGGAACTATTAATTTGATGACTAATTGATGAGTGGGTGGCTAACTCTTGATTTGGTGATAGTCCTTATCTTCTCTTGTCTGCCCAAAATGTCATTGATAATGTAAGAATTATAATCATTTAAAAATATAAAAGTTGTAGGAAATTGTCTCAGCTTTCTAGTAAAAAAAAAATGAGGTCATTTGAGTTTCTAGAACTCTAGATATGGGTTAAACACTGAATAATATTCGGGCTGCTGGACAAATTCGGACTTCTTCATTACAATTTGGACTTGAAAATGACCTTTTTAAATCTTGGGTCTATGTCTTACCTTTCCATCGATATAAAGTAGACCTAATTCCGAAATCTACAGCTCCAAATATGACCCAATTACCAAGCAGTGCTCTAGTTTGGACTACACGAACATCTCTTTTCTAAGTTTGACTATCTCTTTGTCCTTTCAATTTCAGTTCTTAAACTCAACAATCAATCCTTTCATATATGTGATAGGCTTGCATTTAAAATGAATATTTACCACAAATTAAAGGTATCTTATATTATTAAATATGTTATTATAAAACATGTTTTAGTTAAGGAGTTATTGATACTTCATGTGCAAAATGATAATATAAAACCTTGATAAAAATATACTTTTAGGTATTAATCACTAGTTTTAGGAAAAGTTATTGGTTGGTTCCATTTTTCTAACGGTTCCAATTTCTAGGAAAACACAATAGGTAAATGAAAATTTCAAAATTTCAATGGAGTCTCTTCTATACTAAAAGGTCATAAATTATCAACAAAATTATATTACACTTTTAATTTGAATTCACAATCCAATCTAATCATCTTGAATCTCAATCCAATTCATCTTTATCAACACAACACACCTTATTCAATAATATTATACAATTCAAGTCCGCAAAATAACAATGCACAATTTAATTGTTACATAATACAACTAAATAAACTATATCTTGCATAATAATATCATATAATGTAATTTAAGTGAAGGATTCGCTTTTAACTATAAATATACATGGTTAAACAGGTACTTAGAATTACATACATTACATTAAAGTCATACATCCAAATTTATAGGTTAATATTGCATTTCAAGTTTTAAAAGATAAATCTTTTAATTTACAAAATAATTACATGTCCAAAAGAAAAAAGAGACTAAACTGATATCACTCCTAATGTGACCCTGATGGTCCTAAAAACAAAAATTAATAAGTACATTTAAATAAAAAAAATAGTAACAAATAATAACAACGACATATAATAATTTTCATGACATTTTTTTATACATAAAATTAGGCATAAATCACTTATTCAATATATGTTTTCCATCTATATTACCAATATCAGTCTAATATTCTAACCTATTTACCAAGAGAAATCTCAACTCAACTCAATAGTTTTGAACACCATCTTTTCATATATCAATTCTCACTTGATACTAAGATATTCCTTTCTTGGTATCATTAGCTTATCAGATTCTTTAAATGAGAGTGGGAACTATGATGAGAAGAGCTGCGATTAAGACACTCAGTTGTTAAGTTCACTTCACTAAACCAAGTTTCATAAGATAGATTAGATATTTAAAACGCGATACTTAATAAGATACTTAACACAATAGTATATATTCCATGTATTCAGTCTCTAGTGTTATTTTTTTTTGCTTACTTTTAAGGTGCAAGGAACTTTTACAATAGATCTCCAATCAAATCAAGAGTTCACATATATTATTTGCTAGTGTATATAATAAAGAATTCTTATTTTTTTTAATATATATACAAGGAGGTGAAACTTTGAATATTGATGTGAACCGATTAAAATGAGTATGATATTTTGTGATTAGTATGGATTTGAGTTTGAATATTGAGTTTGGGTTTTCGAATAAATAATAGATTACAATTACAATTACAATTACAATTAAAAAAGAAGAAGATGTAAATCCCTTTCGATTTCTTTGGATTCACACATTAACCTGCTTTATTTGACTCTATCAATTTTTATTTTATTTTATTTTTAATTTAATTTTTTGACATTGTGTTATTTATTTTAATTTTGATTTACATAAAACTATTTTGGTCTAAAAAAGCCTTGGCTTTGGATAAGTGCTTAATTTTATAGGAATTTATTTGATTTTGTTATTTGCACGAAATTCAAAGTTACTACTAGAATGATGGAGAAAAAATAGCAACTTGTTATAAAAATGCTAATTCTTGCCTTTGGGATTTTTTCTAAGTTTCTTTTTTGTCCTTTTAGTTTGGAGAATAAACATTTTTTTGTCCAAGACTTTATTTTGTTAATATTTTGGTTCCTAGTTTTGGGGGAAGTTATTGGTTGTTTCTATTTTTGTAACAGTTTTAATTTTTAGAAAAACACACAATAGGTAAATGAAAATTTCAGAAAACAATTTATACAAGTTCCACCGAAATATCTACCAAAATTTTAGCAAAGTCTCTTCTATACTAGGAGGTTTCAAATTATTGACAAAATCATATTACAATTTTAATTTTATTTCACAACCCGATCTAATCATCCTGAATTTCAAACCAATTCATCCTTATTAATACAATGCACCTTATTCAATAACATCATACAATCCAATTCCATAAAATAATAATGCAAATTTAATTGTTATATAATATCATTACATAAACTATATCTTGTATAACAACATCATATAATGTAATTCAATTGAAGGATTCTATTTTAACTACAAACTTGCATGGTTAAAAAGATACTTAGAATTACATACATTAAAGTCATATGTCCAAATTTATGAGTTAATATTGTATTTCAAGTTTTAGGAGATAAATCTTTTTCGTATTTCAAGTTTTAGAAAATAAATATTTTAATTTACAAAATAATTACATGTTTAAAAAAAAAAGACTAAACTGATATCACTCCTAACGTGACCCAATTTTTTAAATCTAAG